GATAGATAGATAGATAGATAGATAGATAGATAGATAGATAGATAGATTAGATTAGATTAGATTAGATTAGATTAGATTAGATTAGATTAGATACTTTATTATTCCCAGGGGGTAAATTTGAGAAATGGCTGGATAATATCAGAAACCATTTCTCTTTTCTTCTGCCTTCTTGCAGCTTTCGTCTGTTTGATGAACAGAAGGATGTGTTGATCCTGCTGTTTCTGGAGGAGATCCCTCCTCATCATCTGTCTCCATACTACCGCATGAGGAAGCTGGTAAAGAAACGCACCTACCTGAGCTGGCCTCAGGCTGCACAACACCCAGGAGTCTTCTGGCAGAACGTCCAGAGAGCTCTGCAGACAGGAGACGCTCTGACTGAGGACACAGACCTGCTGACCGGACCAACAGGTCGCTGAGGAAACAATCACTGAGGTCACAAAATGAAACATAAAGAATTGTAAATATTAAAAATGTCACATTAGATGTCCTCAGAAGAAAGAAATGATGAATCATTGTAGATTATTGTGAAATTGTTTATTAATTGCTACTCTCAGAGACTTGGAAACTACTTTGTAACTAACAAGGTTCAGTCGACTTCTTCAGTTTGAGGCACCAAAAACTTTTTGAAACTATACCTACTTTTACTGTACTTCTGTGCACATTTTTACCATGTACTTTGAAACTCATTATTGCTGCTTATCTCGTGCTGCTGTGTTCATTCATACTCATCTGCTCACACTGGCTCATGTTCGTGCTGCTGTTGTTCGACGTATTGTTCTTGTACTTAGTGCTTAGCGTATTCGTAGTTTAGCGTATTTCTTAGTTCATATCTTAGATCTTATTACTGTTTTTCTTTACAATTTATACTTTTGTTGGCTATAACTGGGACCCTGTGTATACACTTTCGTTCCACCACATGTACCACATATGATGCAAATGACAATAAGGAAACCTTGACCTTGACCACAAAAAACTTATTGATACTAAACCTACTTTTACTGTACTTTTGTACCCACTTTTACCATGTACTTTGAAACTCCTTAACATTGCCAAATATAGGTCTGCATTTTGTTTCTTTGTTTGCAAGTTGTTATTTTGTGTGTATTATTTTATTTTTATTTTTTGGGGGGAGGAGGGCGGGGGTGCTGCATTATCTTGTTTTAAAATAAAATGGTATCAACAAAAATGCCTTCTTGTTTTTCAAAATAAAACAGGTTGGCTGATAGCTATATTGTTCTGCTTATTTCGTTAAATAAGGCACAGCTGTAGCTGAGTGGTTAGAGCGGTTGTCCTCCAATGGGAGAGTTGGGGGTTCGATTCCACCAGCAGTCACATGTTGAAATGTCTCTGGGCAAGACACTGAACCCTTCACTGCCTCTGATGTGTGCCCCATCGGTGAATGAATGTGATCTAAACGCACTGATTAGTCTCTACAGATTCAGATTATCTCTGTATGGCTGTAGTAGTGTTGTATGAACGTGTGTGGAGGTAAATAAGGTTTTCCAGCTTTTACAGTCTGCATTCAACATCAGATTTGTTCCGTCTCAAACTGGTGCTAAATGCTGACAAAACCAAAGGGATGTTGTTTTCAGACAGGAAGTCTGTACCAGCAGTCCTTCCTTCTATTTTATCTTTGACTGGTGTCCCTATTGACTTTGTTGGTTCTTTTAAATACTTGTGTATTTCGGTCGATTTGCATCTCTCTTTTAAGCCTCATGTCGAAAATTGGTAAAAAAAAGACTGAAAGTTAAACGTGTTCTTTTTTAGAAATAGATCCTGTCTAACTCTGAACACTAGGAAACACTTTGTATTTAGTATTACAGTAGTACAGTATTTAAGTCTGCATCTCTGTGTTCATCGTTTTCATGGCATTAACCTGTCCATGTTTCCTGTTTTCCTCCGTGACTCCAGGGTTTATGAAAGTTTGCTGCCACGTCAGTTGTTGTTTGGTTATTATTAATAAACCGTTTAGTTTTGCAGGTCCTTCGAGTCTCTGTGGCATGCCTTCATCTGGGTTCGACTCCTAAAACCAACCAAAATGTGACATTTATGCCTACAACGTCCACGATGAGGACTGGGTTTACAGAGAGATTCCAGTTCTGGAGGGAGAGCAGGGCTGGAGACTCTGTCTGCACCACAGAGACGTCCAACCAGGTGAACACTCTCGCGCTCCTTCATCTCACATTCACTGCCACATTCAAAAGACATTAAAAAAACAAAAATAGATATTTAAAAACGTCAGTTTTAAAGATACAGGATCAAAATTTGTTGTAGTTATTAGATGAGCCTGTTCCTCATCTTATACTTCGAGTTCAAACTGAATGTAGTGCATTTTTTTTTTTAATATCATCTTTTTTAAAAGCCTCTTTTTTTTATGTTTCACACTGTGTAATTTGTGTCATGAATGGGATGTGTGTAAACTAAGAAGGTTCTGCTCTATCCGTCCCCCGCGCAACTCCCCCCGAGAACTTCTGTGAACACTTATCAGAGCTGTACCGGCTGACACCAACATATTATCAGGACTATGGCCTATCTGGAAGTGCTTCATGGACAAATCTATAAATGTGCTTGCTGGTAGTTTTTTTGATGTCTTAAATTGTGTCGTGACAAGGACAAGGTGTGAAGAGATCTTTTTTGTAAGACCACTATCCTTTCCTCATGGCCTTTCCCCTTTTCTTTCAAAAGAATAAGGGCCGCGCTCTTAGGAGCAGCAGCAACGTGCACTCCACACATCTTTCGGACACTGTACGGACATAATCTCGCTGTACTTGGTTGCAGTGGTAATAAAGCTTATTCTGATTCTGATGATCACATCATGCTATGATAGATGGTTTTATGAACTGTTTCTTATGAGCGGTACAAAGTATTCTACCTGATTTTTACCTATTGCTTCACTGAGGTCATGCAACTTGGAAAAATAAAATCATAATTTTGTTGTTTAAACAACATGATGGCATAGTGGTTAGCACAGTTGCCTCATAGCAAGAAGGTCCTGAGTTCAACCCCATTTAGGACCCGGGGTCTTTTTGTGTGGAGTTTGCATGTTCTCATTGTTTTGCGTGGGGTTTCGCTGGGTACTCTGGTTTCCTCTTAACCACCCATGTAAGCTGCCTTCAGGCCTTCCTTGAAAAACAGATCTGTGGCCTCAGTAACATTCGCCTGGTTAAATAAAGGTTAATACAAATTAAATGTATTGTCATTTTTGAAGTAATGTTCTGTCAAGTTATAAATCGTTTAAACTTTTTCAGCTAGGACATCCATCCCAGAACACTGAGAATGAAGAAAAGGACAAAAGTTTTTCTCCAGGATAGGTTAATGGTTATAGCCAAACAAAAGCCCAGTTTTATAATTTGCAATGCTATAAAACAACTCTCCATCAGAAATGACATATGGGTGTGAAATAACACTAAGTTCGCTGATCAAACCTTTACACCTTTGCATGGCACAGTTTATTTAGTTTGTTGTTGTTTTTTCAACCGTACAATATTTGTCTTAATATGCAAATGTATTTGTGCAGAGCGTGTATTGTGTTCATGCCTATGAGATTGCAAATGCGTTATTCTACTTGATTAAATCATCTAATCTGTGCAAAACAGTACTTAACCCTCAGTGGATTATTAGATTCAGCAGCATGAGCAGCAATGGCATAAACAGTATTTTTACTGGGTCTAAGATCAGACCATATATATTTTTGTAGCAACATGAACATGCCAAAAGTTCATGCTCGATAATCCAGGTACAAATCCAACAACATTCAGTCAGCTCATCTGCATGGTTTCTTTTGTTTGCCGAGACGTTTCGTCCTTCATCCAAAGGACTTCTTCAGTCCAAGGAGTCACAAACAAACTGGAGTCCCCATAAATACCACACTTCCACGTTGTAAAAAAAAAAAAAAAACCAGTTTGCTGGTGATAAGATGGTTTCTGGGGCCCGCCCTCTGCCCCGTCAACTCTTCTGAGGTAGTCATGCCAAAATGGTTCAAACACCAGGTCAACTTGAGCACTATGTGGTCATCTGGTTGTAGTAATTGCATTCGCTATGAGTCTGGCTGTAGTCTAATACTGTAGGAATGTGTGGTTTTAGGTACATTTTCGTTGAAACTGTGCTTTGAGTGCTTTCGATATTTGTTTTGTTTTTTGCTTTTATGTTGCCGTTTTTTTTATTTTGTGCCTTTTATGATAGTTTTGCATCATTGTTACTTTTTGATCAAAAAGATTTAACTTTGATGAGCAAATTACTTACAAGACAATGATTAATTTAAAAGACAAAGAATACTCATCATTGTACTCGTTGCAATGGTCATATTTAACAAACCACAAATGAATGTGCCTTCAAACAATTCTCATCATCTTCTCTGGGTTTTGCTCAAAATAGATTTTAGAGATTTACTATGGAACTGCAGAAGAGTGTTCTTGTTTTTCTGCGTTTATGACTGACAGTTTTTCAAACACTGAGACAAGCAGCGCTGGAAAGAGACGTTAAAGAGGAAATGGTCAAACCTATTTTTGTTGTGAGGTGTGAGTTGCGTGTCAGTCATCCCCGAGCAAAAGATTATTTTCAGTATATGACATTTTAAATTCACACTTCTCTCTTGGACTTTATGTCATGATTTTAATTAAAATTAACTAACATGTAGAGCTTTAGAAGTTCTTGTTGCTGTTTTCTATCGTTCAATGCTTGCTTTTTGCCCCCCGGTATTACATATAACAGGAGGAACTAACATTGCCATGCTTCATTGCACCCTGGACCTATTTTAGGGATGCACAAAATGACGTAAGTTAAGAAAGAATTAAGAAGGTTGTGAAGCATTAGGTGCAGAACCATTGGACTGAGGAACAGCTTCTACCCTGAAGCAGTTACTCATAAATCCCTAACCAGGAAAATCACTGTGGAAAAAAAATCACTATAATGCCACTTTAACTGGTGATATGTGACTTATCTGTGCTGCTGATTATCCATGCTGCTGATCTCATGCTGCTGTATTCATTCGTACCCATCTGCTCACCACAGACTCATGTTCGGGCTACTGTTGTTACGTCGCATCGTTTTACATTATTAGTGTTTAGTGTATTTCAGATCTTTCAGCGTACCATTTGGCGTTCGTTTAGCGTATATCTTAGTTTAAACTTTAGATCTATATATACTGTTTTCTTTTTACACTAATACACGTATGAAGGTAACTGCAAGTAAATCCTCCATTTTCTGTCATAATTAGTTTGTAATTAGTTGGCAAGTTTGGTTTGGTAGGCAGGGTGCTCAGTTCTGTTGACGGGGTGGGGCATCCCGCTTGCATAATGGTAGAGGAAACACTATAGCTATGTTGCAACTTCTGGTTGCAAAGCCGTTAACACACTAAACTGGTTTTGTACAAAGCATTTATTAGGTTGTGTAATGTAAAGCAGATCGCTATATCTGC